CAAAGGATTCAAGAAACTTCGATTTATACGGAAACTGGTCCGCCTTCNTCTCTCTCTCTCTCTCTCGATTTAGGGAAACTAGGTCTCCAACATTAGCTATATTGCCTTCTTATCGCGAAGACAAGTGAAATCCCCGAAGGAGAGAATGCAGCCGCTTGAATCTAACTGCGCTCCTTTGAGAGAATTTTATGGAACTCGCGTCGTTTTGTCGATGCTTCCGGCTTCCCACTTCCAACTATTGTACATTCAGCCCTGTCGATTCGCATATATAATCCATACCATTCGTATACATCCTTTTTTAAATCGAACCGTTTTCGATCTTTGAAAAAGTATCGGTCGAAAACATTTTAACACGATAATCTCTAAAGAGTTAATCAGAATTTAATCGAATCGATTAAAATCATCTGTTGAAAGCCAGGTTGAACACGTTCCGCAATCGAATATCATATCGAAATATCGAGAATTTCACGTGAATTCGTAGAAAGGCCAAACACCGATACACTGCGCCTGTGCGGAAGAACACCTGGAAGCTGTGGAAGTTTTGATAGCTCTAGGAGTGAACGTGGACGCTCAGGATTACGAGGGGAACACCCCTCTCCACGTGGCCACGAGAACGAGGCACACAGCCATAGCTCAATTATTGTTAAGGGCCGGGGCGAACACCGAATTGATCGACGAAGTAAATAAGACGAGTTCTTTAATCATAACGAAACCATTTTAATAATTAAAGAACGTGCTCGATCATACCTTCTTCCAGATAGGTTTCACTCCCCTTCACGTGGCCGCCAGCCAGGGTTGCAAAGGTATACTAGAGTCGATGATTCAACACGGTGCGGCGCTCAACAAACAGTGCAAGGTACACTTAAGGTACGTGTAATCGGAATCGAATAACTATCCATCATCGGGAATCGGTTTGCAGTATGGGAACACGCCTTTGCACTTGGCCTGTCAAAACAACGAAGTAGAAACGGTTGAGATACTGATCAATAAAGGCGTCGATCTAAATTGTTTAAATTCGGTGCGTACGACAGTGTTAACGCTTTAAAAGAGAGAAGCGTATTATTTTTATTCGTTCCACCCCTCCCTGACACGATTTATCGCGATTTATCGTTCCAGAGGTTACAATCACCCTTCCATATCGCGACGGAAATAGGGCACAACGACATTTGCAAGCTGTTGCTAGCAGCAGGCGCAAACATCGAGCAAAGAGATCAGGTAAACACGGATGTATTATTCCTTTTTATTCGATATTTATTTTACAATTCTTTGAATTCGTTTTTTCTTTTTTATTCGTTCATCAAAGTGCATTAGTGAATCCAGTGGAAAATAAATAACGATCCATAAGAGTTGGCCGTAAGAATAAAATCAACAAGCGAAACGAAAGTTTATCGTATCGTGCTTTTTACACCTATCCTCGAAACACTAGTGATCTCGATCTCTGACCACGTATGACCACGTTTCCATTTCTCCAGCCATTGAGCTCCAGGTTAAAAGATTATATCCCAATTAATTCTCCGGGGAAATTTCTTGAAACGAGAAACGCTTTCGATCAAAGTAGATGTGTCTCTCTTCTGTGTATCGATCCCGATTTAACACGGATGCGACGAGTTGTCAACAACGGTCAACAAGATTGCGTCCATCACCCTGAGCAAACTTAGGGGTATAACAGACGCAAAATTTGCAAGAGCGTCAAGGGAGCGTAGGCTTGTTTGTCATTGGATTTTGAACCGAGTTAGAGTTAAAAGGAAGTTTGTCTGAATGTTCACAGAGCGGAAAGACGCCACTTTACATCGCGGCGAGGGGCAGTTTCACGGCCATCGTCGACATGATAATTAAAACAGCGAGATTGGATTATCCCACGCCGGTAAGTGATTCGAATCTCGCGTTAAATATATTCATCGTTCTCGCCACGAAGCGAAATTTTTGTGGCAATATCGATAAACGACGTCGAGATAAGATGATCTCTGGTGTTAATCGAGTAAGAAAAATGGGATGTTTCGTAGGAGGATTCGACGTCTGACAAAGAAATTCGAGATTTGACACCGGCTAGAAGAAGATGGCGAGAGGGATCGAGGGGTGAAAGTATCTCGAGTAACAATAGCGTACTTTCGGAGCATATACGATCGATTCTGTGGAAATTGGCGTACAAACAATTAGGGCCTGAGGATTGGAAGAAATTAGCGTTGCACTGGGCGTTTACGAACGATCAGATTCGGGCGATCGAGCATCAGTATACGGGTAAAATAAAAAGATAAAATTTGTTTTATTTGTTTTTTAAGGATATCTCTCGATGACGCGAATATTGTATAAGAAATCATCGAGGCACAACGTTCATTTCACGAGAGAATCGATTGTTCGAAATTTGAAAAGAATTTATTAGAGAACTGCTAGTGAAATATTTTGTACCTCGATGTTCCCTTCGTGAACCAAGAGCAGCCTTATGAAAAGGACGATTAAAGCTCCCCTTATAGGTCCTTCGAGTTACAAAGAGCACGGTTTCCGGATGCTGATGATCTGGGCATCAGGATTGAATCCTGAAATCTCTGTAGGGAGAGAGCTTTGCGACGCTTTGTCCGCGGTGGATAAAAAATCTGTTGCTGGTGAGAAATTCGTCGAGAAATTCTTACTTACATTTAATTCGACACAAGATAGATAATAGAGAAAGAAATTATTTTCAAAATAATAAATTACAGAATCCGTTCGTAAGCACATGGATCAAGAAAAAGATGGGAAAACGAAGTTGAATAAACAACGATGTCATAAATGTTCCATCACTTAAGAATAACGATTAACGATTCCATTCGAGTCGAAATGAAATTACGAAGAAAAAAAAAAAACTTGGAAAAATTTTCAGTAGATAATTTTAGAGAAATCTCGCGTCATATCTGTAGAGACGCTGATATTATCTTTTTTACAATACGTTTCAACATAGACTCGCGTAAAAATATCAATTAAATTCGAGGAGAAATTTTGAAACGAGTATAATTATAAATCAACGAAAGCTTTTCACATAACGCGAAAATTTGATTTAAATATCTTTGAATTAAATCGTGCAAACGTACAAATTTTGAAATCTGAATATTTTAATCTCTTTCTATATATTTTTGAAAAATTCCAATCTTCGTTCGGGGATGTTGCAATTTTTATTCTTATTCGTTAGTTTAAAAAAAGAAAAAAAAAAAGATAATCGACGTTTGAAGCCGTCCGATTTCATTTTATCTTTTGTTGAATACTCATCTTATATTATTGAAAAACCATACGATATTATTCAAATTTGAACTGTAAATATACAAATATAATACGTATTACAAGTTGGAATAAGTGCGAAAAAAAAAAAAAAAGAAAAAATTTTACAGGGCTTTCGATGTGATAAAAGAATGATACTAAAACATTAGAGAAACATTAGAGAACGAGTGTCTCGAGACATTCGATCATTATTCGATAAAAAGACAATCTACATATCTGAGCATTGTGTACAATTAAATAAACGCGTAATTAAAAATCTAGATATTTTTAAATAGTCGTTTCCCGATTGCTCAATAGGAATTATCAATCGAAATAGGAAAAGAGAAAAAAAAGAAACAAAAAAAAAAAAAAAAAAAAAAAAAAAAAAAAAAAAAAAAAAAAAAAAAAAGAAAAAAAAACGAAATCTAATTTGTATCTCTAAACAAGCATCATTGATCGAAAATTATAATTTCAACTTTTGTGAACCTGTCGAATTAAACGATTGACTTCGATGTAATAAAATTTATTCCGTCGAAAACACAAAAATTCTCACGATTATTTATTTAATCATATATTACGTTAAATCTATAAACCTTTAAAGAAGAAGAATAGAATATACAAATGATTAAAAAATAATTCTTACCTGGAAATTCTCCTAAAATAGCAATCTTGATAATGATAACTGGCAGCGAAGGTTGAGCGGAAGGGGGGAGTGTGTAGTTGTCAGGATAAGGATCAGGAATACCCTAAACAGAGTGTTCTATTAAAATGTGAATGTTTATTTATCCATACGGAATATTCATTTGCTTCTATGCTATAAAAGAATGCATTTCTTGTTGCTTCCACCTTCGCAATATATAACAAAATATTATGAACGATATTCTATCTATTATCGTATCATCGCCATCATTCTCATCTAATTATTATCGTTATAATTAATCCATAATAGTTATCAGCGGCAATGGTAAAAACAGGATCCGTCAATGGCAATTAATTACCACAATAGTGAATTGTACAAATCGTACGGTGGACAGGGGATATAAATTCGCGTCGGACTTCTTAACCCTTAACATTACAATTAAGTGCTATCAGTAATTAATTATTATTATTATCATTACACAACGAGCGATATGACTATAGCTCGTGGCTTCATCCATTCTCACACGTTCGTAAAATGTCAGACTTGCTGCTTATTAATCGTTTTTCTTTTTTTCTCAACGCCTCGTCAAACGTCTACATACGAGAGAAAGAAGTCGCCATGCGTGTTCTCATTGTATCGCGAACAAGTACTCGTGTGTTAAAGACGAGAAGTTTAACAATATGTGTTCAATAACATC